CTCCCTTCTGAAGCTGCTGCCCCCGAGACCCGACCCCGGATAGGCGGAAGAAAATGGATGGATGGATGGATGGATGGATGCCTCCTCTGGACATGTCCAAACCGTCTTAATCTGGCCATTCTAACATTATCTCCTAGTTGTTCATCTGTAATGTTTTCTTACGGGTCCTAAGGTACATCCTGGGTATGTAAGGATTACGTTCTACATCCTGGGTATGTAAGGATTACGTTCCTACGCTATGAAGACGCAATTCTCCAAACTTTAACGATAATGTTTTAATAGTTGCTTAAAGGTAAACCAAGTAAGTAGATTGTTTAGGCTGTGCTCGTTGCCAGAAGATGAACATGAGGTGGTGTAATGGTGGCACTCCACTGTTATTTGAATTCTAAGTTGAAGGAGTAAAGAACTCTGGACATTGTTACAAAGTTGAAAAGCATGAGAGTTTTTTTTAAATGTTTGTTTTTATTACAAATCTTAAGGATAATATGTGACATATTCATGATGAACTGCTGAATGACAATAAATCTTATAGAAGACAGTTTGTCAAGAGTTATTTTTTGACTGACGATGATGATTCTGGCCACCAGGAGGACACAAATTATCCCCAAACACAACATCACCACACAGAAGTGTGAGTGATGTTGTGTTTGTGTGTGAGTGAGCTGCTGCTTCAGCGTTTGGTAAATTAGCAGCAGCAGGTCCTACAGATTTTACTGCAGGTTGAATTTTTGGCTTCTTCTCCTCTGTTGTATTAAGACTAGTATCTTCATAAAGCTCTGAAGGACCAACGTCTTCCTCCATGATGAAGAGCAGAGATCAAAACTGCTGCTGAGTCTTCAAAGATGTGATCCAAGTAAAGATCAGTTTCTAATAAACAAACTGAAGGTTCCTCCTCAGTGTTTTCTTTTTCTCTGCTGGAATAAAAAGGGAAGCAGAAAAGAGGAAACATCATTTCAGATCAGATAAATGTAGCCCAGTCAATTTTAAGGCAAATATCTGTTTCCCCTCCTTTCCCTTCTGTCCATAAACTAAGTATGAAATCTCGCGAGACTTGCCACGGGATTTTCCCACAAGACTTTCTGTGAG